AATTAAACAAATATAAGAATAATATGAAAATAATATCTAAGTTCTATACCAATTTCTACTGAAATTGTTATAGTTTGAGGAAAGAAAAAGTAATAGTGTTTTAATTAGGTATAGTGTTCCAAATAACCATACTAACTAATTAATTAAAATAATAAAAATAATAAAAATAATGAAGACTCTTTTACTTCATTCATTTCACAAGAAAGAGATTACACTGTTTTTAGTTGAGGAATTCCAAATAATTCAATTATAACAAAAATATCAAAAGACTAATCTATAATAAAATATCAATTTAATAATTCAATATCAATATTTTGATCAGCTCAATACAGTCTTAAAGCTACTTGTTCACAAGATTTGAAGTATAGTTGAAAGGGAAAGATGAATTATTTAAGTATTAAAAGGTATTTGTTTTATTATATTATTTATTTTCAAGTTCTGACATGTTGAATTAAAGCTTAACTACAATTCATATTTATACATTTTCTTCGAAATACAAATATAATATTAAAAATAAGAAAAAGATATAAAAGATAATTATACTAACTAAAAATAAAATTTCAATTTACTAAATATGGAAAATAAAAAAATAAAGGAGAAAAGATATAAATCTCAAAGAATTTTGATTGATTAAATTATATCTACTCAGAACAAATAAGTATAAAAGTATAAAAAATATAAAAAGTATAAATATAATAAAAAGTATAAGAGTACAAAATAAAAAAAATATAAAAGTAAAAAAAGTATGAGTACAAAATAAAAAAAATATAAAAGTAAAAAAAGTATAAAAATATGAAGTAGAAAAGATATAAAAAGTATAGGAGTACAAGGTAAAAAAAGTATAAAAAGTATAGGAATATGAAGTAGAAAAATAAAAATATACGAATACTATAATTAATAATATATAAAGAAATTGTGAAATGTTCTAAGTTCTTTACATGATTTTTATAATTTCATAAAATATTACAAATTATGGAATTAATGAATTTTATAATATAACTGTAACAATACATTTTAAAGCTAATATAACCCATGATAATTTCTGCTATATAATTATAGCCCATCTGGAAGAGGATCCTTGGCCTTTAAATCTAGTTGTGCTTGTCTCAAGTCTAAAGAAAAAATAATCAATTTTATTATTATCGTTTTTAGCTCAGGTATAAGTCAACATTGCGTAGTGAAATACCTACTGATATGTCCTCTCCTACAATCGGTGGATGATGGTGGAACTTGAATCTGATTGGCTTTCAGTTTGTCAAGTCTAACTTGGCGATTTAATCTATGAGCATCGTTTAGGTTTTGTTGAGGAATTATAGGAATAACCAATCCATTCACATCTCGCTCAATTCCATCCTTTCGATCTTTGTAAATCTCGGTAAAATTGTGCAGATGGTAAAAGAACATACTATGAATGAAATAAACGATACTGTGCCAGATCCCTCGAGTTACGGGAAAATTTCCATGGAGTAGAAGATGGGAAGAAAATGCCACGACTTGTCCTGGATGAAGTGGAACGATAATCTGGAGTTGCGGGAAGCATAGTTCACCCCCCTCAAAATCACCCAATGTCACCAGACAACACAAAGAATTTGGTTCATCATGTTCGTCCCAGTAATAATTGCTTATTGTATTGAAATTAATCGCGATCATCGGGAAGACTCTGAATGGCTTTGGCCCAAATACCCCCCACGATAACTTTTCTAACTTCCCATATAACTCCCCATAATATTCTCAGACGAACTCATTAATAGAGGTTGACAACAGTTCCAAATCACGAAGTAACGTATCGACACATTCTTGATGCTCAACGTTGTGGGCACTTGCGGTGTTGGAACTTGTGTAAGGTAAGAGGTTATTTCGCGCATATACACTGAAATGTTCGATGAAATTGCTCCAAAATTTCTCACTACGGTGGGAAGAGTTATTTAAGGTGTAAAAATAATAGTGGTTTACAGCTTCGGTAATTTTTGATACGGCATTCGAATTATTTAATACTCCCAGATGAATTAAGGTTCTACCCTCGACGTCGGTAATGCATCTTGGTCTTTCAATATATCGAAACCTCACCAATCCTTTTAGAGAATGAGTATTACCCCGTGCAGATATTATTAATTAAGCCTTCTCCTTCCGGGAAATATGCGTCGTGGTTATACTCGGATCATTTCGTGATTTATTACATGTATTTTGGTACTCGTCTTCCTCACGCACGACGTGTTTAAGTTTCATCCATTTTGATCGTAGATGCTGATGTACACCTCTTCTTGTAACTGGCTCTTCGACACCTAACCAACGACCGAAAGCAACCCACAATCCGTTATTCAAAGTATTGACTTGAGGTTCTTCTTCGTTATCGCGATCTATCTTGATTATCTCTCTATCGAGCAGTTTAAGAAATTTAGACGGGATATAAGGTATTTCATTATCCTTGGTAACCGTTGCCTCTCGAATTAAGGTTTCAATCAATAATCCTCTCGTAGAAACCTCTTCTCGAACTTTAGCTCCTTTCGATGCCACACAATCCAACGAACAAAGTGAAGTGCTTTTCCATTCTTTTTCAATGTAATAGATTTTATCACTTGTACGTAACCCTCGAGTCGCAAATTGTCCTATGCTAATATTTTATTAGTCGTCATTTTAAGTCCTAAATATAAAGAACCATAGTGAATAAATTTTTGCTTTTATAACATGATAAACAGAAAGTATATTTGCCTCGAAAATATCCAGACTCGAATACCTGATAATAAATTGCGGGAAGGTAAGAAACGAAGTCTTTTCAACCAGCTGGTATAAGATACCAAAAACCTACTTATTTATATCACTTCACTCAACCCGAAATTCGCTAGAGGGGTCTTAGATCTTCAAACCTGTTCCATAGAAAGTGTTAGCATATGCAATTAACACCAATATGCTGAGCATTAAGTCATAGGCGCATGAAGAAACCCCTTTAGGTTCGAGATCGCTCCTGTAAGACGGAGCTGGTTAACGCAATAACGATCCCTGCAATCTCTGAAACCTCTACTCCCCACAACTTTGGATTTTTGGTGTGGTGATTGTCGAGTTCTTTCCTCTTGTAGGCTTTTCAGGTTTCGTTTTCGCATGTCTTATCGTGTGAAAGAAAGACATTTTCCTATGCGAAAAAAAATAACGATCATCTATGTAGTACAGTTACGCAATTACGCATGTTCCACGAACTTCTATGCCGATCCCGACGACTTTCCGAGAATCTCTTTTATATTAGACGTTTATGTAGTATATATACTGTATTTTTTGCATAGAAGGACTATCAAAGGCAAAGTAAAAAAAGTCTATATTACTTTGAGTACCGTAATATGCCGAATACCCCTCTGTACAATTCATGGCCTTCAATTTGTGGATAGAATGTAACGTGTCTCTTCATTGGTAGCTTTTTGTCAAACAGGCTAATTTTGGTAAGCACAGATTAATTCGGGTTTCACGAACCATTTCCATATAACGTACTCCCAAGGTCATTGTAAACGCCACTTATCTAGTTACATCAAAATTGTGTATCATCAAATGTATTTTTAGTCGGTTAGCCATATGCAAGCAAAAAAGGCTATGATCAGCTTACTTTGTGGCGCCATACTCTATTAAACGAATTTAGAATGCTTATTGTCTTAACGTTAAGAGAATTAAGTCTCCATTGTTAAATTTCTATTTATGTATAATGTAACCATATGCATTTACAAAAAAAATTTTTTTAAAAATGGTATCGTAATAAAGTACAATCCCTTTCTTTATTAATTCAATTTTAAAAGGTTACATTAGAATAAACATAATATCATACTTGAATATTATTATAGTACGAAGTTTTGATAATATTATATAAACCTTTGACGGTAACACTAATTCAGGCATTGTGTATAATAATCATTATGAAATAAACAACAAACCTGATCGTTTCAAATATGAAACAAAAGAGGTCATTGTCTTTTATTACATGCCATTACGCCACAATTTTATATAAATAACAAAGATTCTTCTTCTTCAAATGGCAAATACCAATTTCCCTTTTCTATCAGACAAGACCATGTTGGTAAACATAATCAAATGTCTCGTCTGTTTGTTTGGTTTATTTCCGGTCGTATTGGCAAGAATGCCAATTTATGATATGTTTCACTTTGGCATAAAAGAATATCTTCCCTATATCGTTGTCACCATTGTTCTTTTATTTGCCTTTATTCCAATACCTCAATTTAAAAGGTTGAGAAGTGAAATCGCTTTTACCCTTGGCATATTTACATCATTTATTTTTCCATCGATATTTTTTTATATAACACAAGGCTTGAATAAGCTTACCATAATTTCCATAATTATTGGTAGTTTACTCATTATATATATTTTAACAATAAGAATAATTGACATAACAACAAATAATCCGTTATTAAAGAATCATGTCACTTTATTCTTTTCAATTCTCATACCTTTCATTTTGATACCATCCATATTATACGCAATATTTGGCATCGACAAGGTGACCATTGTCGCATCGGCTTTCACCTGGTCCATACTTATTATAATCTTGTTAACGTTAATATTTAAATCGGCCGTCGACATAATTCTTCCAGTATCAATCATGTTAATTTTGGCGATTTTTCCGCCGTTATTCCTTTTTGCGATGGACAGTTTTAATGAGATATCAATTTCCTATTTAATATCTATAGAAGCTACGATTCTCACAATCGCATTAATGTTTCTTTTAGATGCTTACTTTCCGAATTCTTCTATTTTTTGTTGTATACTTACAATACCAATTCTATTGATATTCGCGTCATCTATTAGTGCTTTAGTATTTTCCATAAAGTCTTTGATTAAGTATGGAATTCACTTTCACTTTTCTATTCTTGCTATCGTAATTGCAATTGCTAGCGAGGCAGTAGTTGGTATTTTGTTTTGTACACAGGATACAGTGGTCGGAAAAATATTGGGTTGCATTTTGAGCGGATTTGGTTTTTATTTTGTCTTTATAATTTGCAAGCACAAATCAATCCAATTTCACTTTTACTTTTCTGGGCAGATTTATGGACTATATTATCTGTAATTTATGTAATCATTGAAAAGTATATTAATAGAGATCATAGAGATAGTAATCACGGAGATGGTAATGATGTAGAATTTGATCTTCAGGATTATTTACCTTCTGATAGTTAGCATACACACGAGCTTTGTGTGCCAGATCATAAAAAACACTTTTTAATTCATATCAATGACCGCATTTTTTGTACAAATTTATAATAAATTTAGTTAATTTTGGCATCAATATATTGACTATTTTTGGATTAATCAACAAGATAAAAAGTATATTATATTAGCTTAAAGAATTAAAGTGATGTTATTTTTATGTGATCTACTTAGATTTGATTAGTTAGTATTTTAGTTAGGAGATATGATTGGGTTTAGTAAGATCAGGTGAAAATGACTCTGCCCCAAAAAATAATTATGATATCTATCATTTACGTGATCTGATTAGTTAATAATTTCCAGGTTTTTAATTATTCTGATTATAAACTGTGCACATTTTCAACCAATCAATTATCATTATATATACCCCTTTTACCAATTATCAATGATTATTTATCTCTCATGCTTTTTTTTCGCCAAAAACACATATTATTCATTTTGAGTAGAATATCGACTCTAGGAATTTTATTATTTCTAATAGCTCATTAGATAATGTTGCTTTTGTCTTTGTTTCTTAATCATAGACTAGCTCACACTAATAAAATATCTTAGCCTTTTTTTCTATATTAGTATATCACAAAAGAAATCATTCAAGAAATTGTCACGTAGTGTTTGCTATAATAAAAAACGTAGACTTAATAAAGAACAAAAATCAAACTTTACTGTTATCAACAAGCAATATTTCTCTTGAAATAAGACTTGAAATGTCTTGCGTTATTTTTGATCCAAGCTAAGTATATATTAATAAATAATAATTATTATTTCATCATCATGAATCTCATTTTATTTATTAGAAAGATTAAATACTTTGTTCCAATCAGCACATATAAATAATGAATTATTTTTTTCTCTGATTAAATCAATAACAATAAATTCTCTATCATATAAAAATTTATTAATAATTTTAATGATATTATGCCAATCATTATTATATCAATAAAGAATTCTTGTAAGATCATCTGTATTGCAACTCCTATTAAAGAGTACAATTTAATCCAGATTTTTTCTTATTATTGCTGAATAATCAAAAAATAATCATGTTATATATATAAAATTAATATTAGAGTGATATTCTTCAGTAAAATAAGGAATAATTTTATCTTGAATCTTTTTAAATTTACTATATATATCTTCAAATATGACTACTGTACTTCTTGATGAAAAGAATTCATCCACCTTTGAAATTTTATCAGGCTTCATTATCTGAAATATAATATTTTTATAAAATAACTTTGAACTATTAGCAATTATCTGATAACAATTACAGAAATATAGATATTTTGGCTCTTTGAGATAATGACTGAAAAGAACAAGATTATCATTTTTAATATAGTAATTTTTTTCTTATTAAATATCTGATAAAATTTGTCTTTAAGAGATTAATGATTATATTTATTTTTTCTAAATTACTTCATTCTGAAACTACATCAGTAAATTTGATAGATATCAGATCAGCGGCAATCAGTAAATATGCTGATCATCACTGATTTTTTGGTTACACTGATCCAAAATCTACGCAGAACTCCAAAAATAGAAATTTTGGAGTTGTATAACCCAAAGAAACTGTAATGATTAACATATTTACAGATTATTACAGTTCTTTGGACATAAATTAAATAGATAAATAATAAATAGATTGATTATATGCATTATCATTTATTTTTTTTCTTTGAAGTTTAGCACAGGTGCAAATTTAACTTTAAAATTCTTTATCCATTAGTTTTTCAAAACATATATTTATTTAACAAAAAATGGTTTTTTTTGTCAAATCTCAGCACAATATGTACCTCTTGATCTATAAATTCTATTGGAATTATATTATACTCTTTGGTATAGTATAAATGAGAGCAATTGTACTTTTCTGGCTCATTTGGCACAATATCATACCAACGAACTATAGCAAGATTGTATGGGTCCTTTGCTGATTCTCGAAAAAACTATAGAAAGTGCAGTATCTTTTGGAAGGAAATGTGAAGGTTAATTCATTCAAAATTGCTAAATTTGAAATTACATTTTACTATTCTTCAAAAGTTATATTTACCTTTCCATATTAAGCATCTTCATTTGATCTATAATGGCTTTGGTCTTTAGCTGAAGTTATTACAACGTTACTGAACCACTCTTTATCATAAAAACTTCCAGATGTTCTCAGAATTTCGTCACTTTCCAAATAAACTGCGTCATAAACTTTTATACAAAAATCTTCACTTTTAGATTTTTGTAATGATGTATCGAGAAATATATCTAAAGTAGTAATTATATACAATAATCCTTCAATAAAGTTTGAATGCAGTGAACTCTCCAAATTTTTCAATGAAATCACTTTTGCTTCGATGACGTCCAAAGATAATTCTCATAATATCTTGTCAAATCCTGTAGTTTTACAATAAATCATCTTGCTTATCATTAGAGCCAATTCTTTGCACTTCACCTATAAGTATAGTTTAGAATTTATAACAAATTGATCACAATTGACTAACTTAACTTACTGCATTTACTATCTGCTGGACTGCATTTTTTCTATTTGATGACTGGTACGGGTTTTTCACATACAACTTGTGAAGTGTTTCGTATGTTTCCATCAAGAGATCATTCAAGACTCCATATTTGCGAATTGTTAAAATCACGTGATAATACCAACTATGTAGTTTAGGAAAACTACATTCTGTAGTGGATAGCAATGAGAAGATTCTCTTAAATTCAATTGACCAGTCAGCAATGAGAACTGTATCCATTTTCAAAGTTTATTATTAGTTATCCAATTTTTCAAAATTTAATTAATTTTGCTTTATTTTATTTCAAATTCTTTTAAATCATTTTCAGTAAATAAATCTCGTCTACTCATCATATATATCATACTGAACTTTGCAAAAAGCATGCAGAGTTCATTGCAAGTTATATTATTCCATGTGTCGAAGATATTGTCTAACGTGAAAAGAGTGATTTTCATGATATGTTGATAGTCTGTGGCTGTCATCACTTTTATTGACCCAATTTATCGAACAACTTCAACTCAGGAAAGTGAGGAATTTAACGGAGACGATTATCAAAGTTGTTTAGTAATTCTGTTCCTCCAACTTCCTTCAAAATATCTTGGGTGAAGTTCAATTGGTATTTGAAGAGA